ATAATTCTAGTGTATTGGTTTTTTTAACAGTTTCGCTTTGCCTGGAAATATGGATAGTGAGAGAAGGGTGCACCCGGACTGTATAAACGCTTCGAATCCTTATCACGAGTGTGTCGAGTATTGCTTTAAGAAAATAGTTGAAGCAAAGGCCAGATTGGAGAAGAAAAGTACTGAGTTTGTGTGTTTTTCTTTTCGTTTATGTGGCTTAGCTGTTCTTGATGATGTATCCATCATCTGTGTTGATTCGTTTCCTAAGAGATGCGAGTGAATTTGCACAAAAAGTTATCTGGTGATGATGCTACAATGTGACTTTGTTTCGATTCAATGATTCACTCACTCTTTGCAGAGGTGGATATAAACATGTTATTTTTCTATGTGATGTTCTCAATGATGTCTTAATTATAAATTGGGATTCTTAGACTTATTAATGATGAATATACCCTTAGGTAAACAAAAACTATTGTTTTAGGTAAACATATTTGCTGCCAACTATTTTTGCCGCCCAACATAACATAGCGTTTTTCACTTTAGAAAAGCTATAAAAAATCACGCATTCGTCAACCATAGTAGATAGACACAAAACGCTATCTTAAACTTTTATTAATACCTGTTTTTCCTGTAGTGCTCATAAGAGTGACTACCAGAGCCCCATCAGGAGGTCTTGCTACAGAAGTAAGTTGAGCCTGCAATGCAACTTAGAAGAACATATTCAAATCTTCACAGCTAGCTGAGCAACCTTCTAAAGAAATCACGGATCTCAGCACAGATCTCACAAATTAGAGATTTGTGTGGGATACCAACATCTCTATCAGGTAAGCTTGGGACGAACCACTTTCTCAACACTGAAAACACTGGCCAAGAAGTCTTGTCGAATTCATTTCCTAACCTCATATCTAAGAAGAATAAAAGTTAAGAAAATAAACATAAATAGAACATTTACAAAAATAACATTGGATATTAAATTTAATACATCAGTTGCAAGATTGACAGTGGAATTATGTTTTAGAGATATGTAGATCAAAGTGTTTAATTCTTTTTCATCCAAAATGCTATCTCTACATTTCTTGAACACCAGCTTCACATTATGAACCCCTTTACATACTTGTTGGCAGAGAGGCACAAAACTTCAACAACTTTTTTGGTAGAAGAGGGTTCATCTACGAGATCTCAATAGAAAAATTAAAACCTATTTGGTAATCAACCAAAGTTAAAAAAAAAAAAAAATATTCCACATGAATTTTGTTTTTTTTTAAAGCCCAATTAGCTTTTGTTTTTGGAAAAAAGAAAAAAAAAACTAAAACAACGATTCCGATTTCCGACGTTGAACCCTTCACGACTATGCATCCGCCATTGAAACTCCGTTCACCTCTCTTTATCCTCTAGATTCTACACTCTTTCTTCTATTTGCCTCCTCTCTTTCCATTTTGTGCGTTTCCGATTTTTACGAAATCGCGTTTCCAAACTTAGGTATCCTGGAATTGGGGAATCGCGTGTCCTTGTTCAATGGCTGTTTGGCGTGTAATCAGTCGGTCGTATCTCAAGTACGCATCAAACCAATTAAGCAGGAGTTACAGTCTTGCTACCTCTTTTACTCATGTTGTAAAGCAGACAAAGTTGTCTTCTTTTGACCTCCCGAATTCAGACATCTGTACAAGACCTTCACACATCTTCGATAATGTCAGGTTACTTGCCACTTCAGCTCAGGTACTATATTTCAAAAAAAAAGTGTAATTTTTCTCCAATTTGTATAATATAGTTTGGTTAATTGGTCTTCCAAGATGCTATTGTTGTTACATTTGATGATATGTTTTGAATATAATGACTTGAGGCATCGGGAATTTTGTTCAGTTCTTCATGTTATAGCTTCTTGTTGGAGTTTGTGTACTAAGACATTCTAGCTGCGGTTTATA